AAGTTGGTGGTGGGGGCTGTCCTTTATGAAACTGGACATTAGCCACACCTACCTGCATTTGCGACTGGATGAGGAGTCCCAGAAGTACACTCCAATTAATACCCATTAGGTTTACATCAATGTACAAGACTGCCATTTGGTGTATCATCAGTCTGTGCTCTTTTCCAGCAGACCATGGAGAACATTATAAAAGGGCTATCTCAGGTTGCCATTTATCTGGATGATGTACGAATAACTGGGAAGGCCAATAAAGAGCACTTGGAGAACTTGGGCATAGTCTCGCCCAGGCAGGCCTTACATGGGAAAGATGTGTGTTCCAGGCATCCCAGGTAACCCATCTGGGTTATAGAGCCAACAAACCGGGTTACATGCATTAGAAAAGAAAGTGAGGGGATCAAAGAAGCCGCAGCTCTCAGGTCTTTCCTTGGGTTAGTGAATAACTACACAAAATTTATGCGTGGCCTGGCCTCCATCTTGTGGCCCTTACACCTGCTATTGAAAAAGGGTCAGCCTTGGAAATGGTCACATAGCCAAGAAGCAGCCTTTACGGAAGTGAGAAAGCAGTTATCGTCATCTAAGGTGTAGCACATCATGATCCCAGGCGAGATCTGGTGCTGACATACGATGCCTCCCAGCACGGTATCAGGGCGGTGTTGGCTCACCGGTGGCCCAATGGAGACGTCTGCCTGATAGGTTCTGAATGATGTCGAACACAAGTATGCCCCGATTCAGTGCTGGGTCCTTATTCTCAATGCGTACAAGCACAAGTTAGAACGCCATCCAGAAAGCCAAGTGGCTAATGCCAATGCCTTGAGCTGCCTCCCACTGGCAGATACTCCACTGGTGGTGCTTCCCCTGGAAGAGTCTGTTTTGGTTTTAAACTTTCTGGACACCCTTCCAGTCACCATGGACAACATCCGACAGTGGACACAAAAAGATCCTGTTCCAGCGAAAATGAAACAGCTGGTGGTAAGGGGGGAAAACAGAAGGGCCATCGCAGCCAGGACTGAAATCTTTTTGGACTGAGTGAGACCAGATCACTGTAGCAGATGGCATATTACTGTGGGGAGCAAAAGTGATTGTCCCGAGTCAAGATTGCTGCCAGATACTGGCAGAACTCCACCAGGGTCATCCAGGGGCTTCCAAGATGAAGATGCTGGCAAGAAGCTATGTTGAGTGGCCAGGGTTGGATGCCGACATAGCTGCGTTGGTGGGGCAGTGCCCAGAGCACCAACAAGGACAAAAATTGCCACCACAGAACCCAACATTCATGGGAATGCCCAGGCAAACCCTGGACTCGGTTGCATGTTGACAATGGCGGCCCCTTAATGGGCTCGATAATCCTGATAAAAACCGAAAGAACTGCGCATGCTGTAAATCAGGAATGAAAACAAAGTTGCTGGAAAAGCTCAGCAGGTCTGGCAGCATCTGTGAAGGAAAAAAATCAGAGTTAACGTTTTGGGTCCAGAGACCCTTCCTCAGAATGCCAATACCTTCAGCCACCTCCCAGTGGCAGATACTCTTCTGAGGAAGTGTTCTGACCCGACATGTTATTCTGATTTTCTTTTTCCACAGATGCTGCCAGGCCAGTCAATATTCCTGATCATTGTGGATACCCAAAGTGGTTGGACGTGCATAAAGTTCATTCAGCAAACTCAGGGATGACAAGTGAGAAGCCGTGAGCATTGTTCACAATACGTGAGCTCCCAGAAGTATTAGTCATAGACAGTGGGATGCAATTTACCGGCAGGGAATTTGAGCATTACCTAAAATCCCATGGCGTTCAGCACATAAGGACAGCTCCATACCATCTGTCGTCCAATGGTCTAGCAGAGAGAGTAGTCCAAACGTTGAAGGCAGGCTTAAAGAAGCAACCTGCAGCATCAATTGATATCAAACTGTCCCAGTTCCTGTTTGATTATAGGACCACCACACAAGCAACTACAGGGATAGCTCCAGCAGAGTTGCTGATGGGGAGAAGACTCCGCACCTGATATTTCAAGACCGGTTGGGGTGGAGGGGGCGTGTTCAGGGATGAAACAGCAGCAGGAATGCCAATGCCAGCCAAATGTCTCCTCTAAGCGAGAGAGACAAATCAGAACCATGGACAAGGCGCTGTATGGGTACAAGGCGAGGTTGACAGAAGGTCAGGTCCTGTGGCTTACTAAGTTTGGGTAGGTGTTAACACATGGATCACCTGAAAGCTGTCACCTCGCAAACAGAGCAAAACATACCTAGCCCCTCAGAACAGCCAGAAAGCCTGTCAGAAACCATAGGCGCTCCCCCTCCGTCTATTGTCAAGCAAACCTCAGTGCGAAATGTATACAGCCTTGATACCGTGACCGAAGAGGAGGAAATTCTCCAGAGATGTTCCAGGCGCAACAGACGGGCCACAGTCCACTACACGTCCCCAATGTCTGAGTCTGACTCAGAGAAACCAGACCTGGGACGAAAACGTCGCAAGAGGAGCTACAAGCAAAAGACCAGACCTACATCCCCGGACTTACAGGGGGAAGGATGTAGTCATTGGAACTAGGTGGACCTCGTTGACTATGAGGTTCTTGATTGTGGTTGTTAACCTGGGCCAATCGGGAAAGCCTTGGCTGACTAATATAACCAGGAGACTAGAATCTTGTAAATTGAGGACAGACTCCAAAGCTGGCCACAGCCAATGTATTGTGAGCAAGTAAATAAAGGGTGACTTGGTGATGGCATACTGGCCTCTGTGCAGTTATTAAACTAAAATTGATCAGAACATCATTTAGAACCCTCCTCCTTGATTTCCACCGCCATCCTCCCCCATTCTGTTTCACATAATGCATTGTTTCTCATGTCCAGCTGAGAAGACAGACAGCATCTTGGTTTAATGCCTTATTTGCAAGACAGCAGCACCGACTATGCAGTGTGCCTACAGAACTGCATTTGAGCGGCACCCTAAAACTGGACTCAAGACTCTGGAGTGTGATATGAACCCAGAAATGTTCTAATTGAGTGACAAGTGTTCTACCAACTGATTCATGTAATTGAACTAATTCTTGAATTAAGATCCAATCAAGTTGGATTAGACTACTTTTTTGGGGTCGAAGAAAATAGAATCTCCTAAATTCAGTACTGACTCCGAGCTGACTGGTCACAGCCAGTATACTGCGCACTCATAAGTAAAGGATGACTTGGTAATGGGAACCGGTGTCTGAGCAGTTATTTCAGTTCCGCATGGTAGACTAATTAGTAAAGCTGGATCTCATGGGATTCAGGGTGAGCTTGCCAATTGGATAAACAATTGGCTTACCAGCAGGAGACAGAGACTGGTGGTGGAGGGTTGCTTTTCGAACTGGAGGCCTGTCACCAGCAGTGTTCCAGAGGGATCAGTTCTGGGCCCTCTTGTTTGTCATTTATATAAATGCTTTGGATGGGAATATAGAAGGTATGGTTATACATTTGGGGACAACACCATAATTGGTGGCATAGTAGACAGTGAAGAAGGTTTTCTAAGATTACAAAGGGAACTTGATCAAACGGATCAATGTGCTGAAAAATGGCAGATGGAGTTCAACCTGGATAATTGCGAGGTATTACATATTGGTATAACAAACAAGGGTACAGCTTATACAATTAATGATTGGGCCTTGGGTAGTGTTGTAGAACAGACAGACCTGGGGTTCAGGTACATAATTCTTGGAAGTTTGCATCATAAATAGACAGGGTGATTAAAAAGGTGTTTAGTACACTTGTCTTCATTGCTCAGTCCTTTGAGTATAGAAGTTGGGAAGTCATGTTAAGGTTGTACAGGACATTGGTGAGATCCCTTCTGGAGCACTGTGTCCAGTTCTGGTTGCCCAGTTATAGGAAGGAGATTATTAAGCTGGAGAGGGTTCTGAGGAAATTTACTAGATGTTGCCGGGTTTGGAAGGTTTGAGTTAAAAAGAAAGGCTGGATGGGCTGGGACCTTTTTCACTGGACCACAGGTAGCTGAGAGGTGACCTTCTAGAAGTTTATAAAATCATATAGGGTATAGATTGGGTTAACAGTAAGTGTCCTTTCCCCAGAATGGGGGATTTCAAGACTAGGGGACACATTTTTAAGGCAAGCAATGAGAAATTTAAAAAAGACATGGAGGCAAATATTTCACACAGAGTGGCTCGCATATGGAATGAATTTTCAGAGGAAGTGGTGGGATATGGGCACAATTCCAACATTTAAAAGACATTTGGATAAGTACATGAACAGGAAAGGTTTGGAGTGATATGGGCCAGGATCATGCAGGTGGGACTAGTTAAGTTTGGGATTATGTTCGGCATGGACTGGTTGGACCGAAGGGTCTGTTTCTGTGCTGTATGAGTCTATGATTATGGCTGCACTCTGGGTCTATGCTGTGGCATTCCCCCTTCAACCTATTTGTTTGAACTTCATCCATTACAACACTTCTTAAAAACTACCTCTTGGGCTAACTTGAACATTTGTCATAGTACCTTCGCAGTGCATGTTATCATACTTTGTTTTACAATGTTGCCTTGAAGAACCTTAGGAATACTTATTATGTGAAAGGTGCTTACTCAGCAATATCCAACAAGAAATCAGATTCAAGGACCAATTTGATAGAAGTCCTTAGAATTACAAAAGGAGTTTTGACAGTGTAGCTGAAAAGATGAAGTTCCTACTTGTGGGCAAAACCAGAACTTGGAGCCATTGATATAAGACTGTCATTAATAAATCCAATCAGAATTCAAGAGAAACCTCTTTACCCAGAAACTGGGGAGAATGTGGAACTCGCTCCCGCAGAGACTGGTCAAGTCGTGGCGATGTATTACAGGGGGAAGCTGGATAAACACAAGGGAGAAAGGAACAGACGGAGATGGGGATTTGATATGAGTGGGTGAATGGAAGCTTGTGTGAAGCACAAACACCAGCATGAATCATTATGGACCAGTATGGATAGCATGTTTCTAGGCTGTAGGTTCCATGCAATGTATTATTCTATCATGAAAGATTTGTTTCCTTACCATTATCCACGATTGATAATGAGGTTATACAGACATCTGGACTGTGGCATTCAATGTCTTTACATCGGAGTTTAGGCAGATTCAGACAACTCTTGCATTGGAGTGAAAATACTACAGTGAAGCAGAATTGTTAGTGATTATGTTGAAAGGGATCACACACGTGAGACTGTAACAGATGGATGAATTTCCCCAATGACCTCAAATATTAGGTGACCCAAAGCCCTCACAACTTCAGGTGTGATTACTTTTGCTGCCAGTTTAGGGGTCCGCGCTGTACAAACTCTAACCTAGAAGAACTTAATAAATACACAGCTGTCATTAGTAATTTAATCAGCAGTGATGAAAGAAACAATGTGAATTTCAAAATCACCTTTCACAACTTCCTGATGCACAAAAGCTCTTTGCTTAACTATGTACATTCTGAGGCATAGTTACAATGTAGGAAATACCACAGCCAATTTACACGTAGAAGCTCCAAAATGTGCTTTCAATTTAGCGATGTTGGGGAACAGATAGAAGTCCTTTCCAACATCCTGAGGAGAGATGCAACCCTCCTCCAGTGTACCATTCCAGTTACCTGAATTGTGCTCGCCACAGGTGGTAGGAAGTGGTAATATTTTCATCTGTCTTTGTCTGAATACAACAGAATCTCAAAAAGACAGCTACACAGATAGGGTACAGTCCCAAGAATAATTGATTAGTTTTTGGCAAAGTTGTGGATCCAGATCATGGACATTTTTAAATGATCTGTTAATATTTGGAGACAGAGTGAATTAACTTTGTTTTAGTACGTAGCTTTTTAAAAAATTTTTTCAAAAACAACTATTTATTGGTTGTTTTCAAATATCATGTCGACTCTCTCAACTGTTGTGTGGAATTTGTTAGAGCTGTCAAAATATGAGCAGTGCTTTCAGAACAGGTTATTGGATGGAAATGTAGCCTGAAACTCCTTGGTGAGATGGAAACTCTAAATAAACAGATTATTTTTCCACTTTTGTAGTTAGAGAAAAATCACCCTGACAGGGAAGGATTTCTAGTAAGAGCTATATAACTGCATTAACATGGAGTAGTGAAGGTATGCATTTTACTGAGTGCCCTCTGCATGCATTTATATTGTATATACCTAACTTAAATACTCATCCCAAAGGTTTGACAACATTACCGATAATTAGTAATGGTCATATATTTCTTACAAACCTGCTCTATTACACCAGTAATAATAGTTATTTGAATATCTGGGATCTTGCTCTTTAAACTCAATGATTCTCTCTGGCTCATCACAATATTATCAGCCAATGAAGCAGTAAGGTATGTAACATGGGAGGGGCAACAAGATCCCAGTAATAGTAATATGATAACAACCGGATCATCTGCCTTTCGCTGAAGTTGGTTGAGAGATTGATTCCCAAAAGACTGGTGAGGGATGAGGGACAGCAACCTCACAAGACCTCATTATTCAAAATGGTGACTGAGGGATCTTTTATATCCATCTGAAAGGGCAGTCAGGGACTAGATTTGGATGATGGCATCTCCAGCAGTATAACACCATCTCAGTATGGGTGCTGTGTGTGCCAGCCTGGGTTTTCAGTCTTGTCACCGGTTCAGGGCTTCAGGTCAAACCACAACCAATGATCTGCTCTAAAAATTCTATCCATGTTTTGATAAATCCCACTACAGCAGTGGAGACAATTCCCACCACATTCAAAAACAATCAACAATATTTTTTTAAAAGTCCATTCACCCTATCTCCAGATGTCAAATGGTGTTTGAGCCTGTCTCTGTTTGGTCTCTAAGTCAAACCATGATAGATGAGTACCTTGAAAACAGAAATGCTATCTTTTCTCCAACTAATAATCTTACAAAGCAAGGCAGTGATATCCCTAATTGATTAATTACCAGGAATTCTTACCTCTGAGAATGATATTGCAGAGAACGGATACTACCAATAAAACCCTCATTGTATCTTGTTGCCTTGTTTGTCCTTGTCCTGAGGTTTATCAGTACTGAATATTCGAGGGGTAAGAGATCAGGTGTCCTGTATTATTGAGAATTCAGAATAAAAAGAATGAGGGAAGATGTGTCATGACATTGCTAGGTCATCGGTTTTAACTTGCTTCCAAATCCAGTCTAACCTATTGGAGGGAATCTTTTTGATTCACTTACTAACCTCTTCAAGCAATATTGGTCTCCTTATTTAAGAAGGGTTATATTTGCATTGGAGACAGTTCCAAGAAGGTACACTAAGCCGATTTCTGGAATGAGGCTGTCTACTACTCTCTACTCATTGTAGTTTAGCAGAAATACAGGGGGGTATTATTGAAATGCACAGCAACTTCGTGTCAAATTTCTGCCATTTCCCAATAAGCCAGCATATTGTTTCTTTTTAAATAATCATCCAATGCTCTCTTGAATGCCTCAGCTGAACCTACCTTACCACACTTCCAAGCAGAACATTCCAGACCAGAACAACTTTTTTTTTGCATCTTTAGCAAAACACTTTAAACTGTGCCCTCTAATTCTTTATCCATTTATGAATGCCAACAGTTTCTCCCTATTTACTCTGTGGTCACCCTTCACAATTTTGAAATCTTCCATCTATCTCCCCATTGCCATCTCTTTTCCAAGGAAGACAGTCCCAACTTCTCCAATTTTTCCTCACAACTGAAGTTTATCATCCCTGGAACCACTCTCAAACCTCTTCTGCACTCTAATGCGTTCATATCCTTCTTACAATGTGGTATTCAAGACTGTACGCAAAACTCCAGCTGAGGTCTAACCAGCGTCCAATCATAACTTTCCTACTTTTCTATTCTATAGCCCTATTAATGAAGCCTACAATACTGTATGGTTTATTAACAGCTCTCTCTACCTGACCTGTCACCTGTAATGACTTACGCACATATACACCCGGGGTCCTCTGCTCCTGAAAACCCTTTAGAATATCAAATTTTATTTTATACTGTCTCTCCAAGTTCTTCATACCAAAGTACATCACCTCACACATCTCCACATTGAACTTCAAACACCTCCTAACTGCCCACTGCACCAGTTTGTCAATGTCCTTTTGAATTCCCGTGTTGACTTCTTCACACTTTACAATGTTTCCAAATTTGTGTCATTCACAAACTTTGAAATTGCCCTTTGCACACCAAGATCTAGATCATTAATATAGATCAGGAAAGGTAAGAGTCCCAATCCCAAAGAAATTCCACTACAAACATTCAATCATTACTCTGTTTCATAACCCTCAGCCAATTTGGTACCTACGTTGTTATTGTCCTTTTTTATTCATTATGCTTTAGATGTCTTCAAGTCTTACGAGTCTTACACCTTTTGAAAGTCCGTATACACTGCATCAACATCCTCCTCCGCATTATTTGTTTGAAAAATTCCAACAGCTAGACAGTGTTTTTCTTCAAACGTTCCATTCTGACTTTTCTGAATCAATGCATGTTTTGCCATGTGGCTATTCATTCTATCCTGAATAATTATTTCCAGAAGATTCTCCACCATCAAAGTTAAGCTGACTGATATGTAGTTAATGAGGATATCCATACAATCTTATTTAAGCAAGGATGTAACATTTGCAATTTTCCAGTCCTCTGACATGAACGTGGAATCAAAGATGAAAGGATTATTACCATTGCCTCTGCAATTCCACTCTCACTTCCTTCAATATCGTTGGATGCATCTCATCCAGTCCCAGTGTCTTATCAACTTTAAGTACCAACAGCTTATCCAATAGCTCCTCCTTGTCAATTTTAAATCTTTCTGACTTTGCACCTGTCACTATGGCCTAGGCAGCATTTGCCTTGTAGGTAAAGACAGATGCAAAGTATTCATTTCTACACCGTGGCATTACTTCCTAATATTCTCTCCGCAGCCACAGAATCCCCCAAGGGTACTGCCTTCCCAATCTTCATCCTCCTCCCCTGCACAACTAGGCTATCTTGTGGCTGCCACAGACTTGGCTCCTGCTGAACTCCTTCGAAGGGCTGATCGCTGATATCCAGAACGGAGAACGGTCGCAGCAAGTCGGACCTCTGAGGGGTCCTGCATTCCCTGCCCAGGTTACCCGTAGCAAAGGTCACCTGGTCAATTCTCGTTGAAATTGGCAGAACTCCCCTACGCAGGATGTGCAATTATGATTTTGTCCATGAGTGAGAGTGAGTGTGTGCGCATTGCTCCTGCTTATCCATCCTACCTGGACCTGCAGTGTTCTGGGACCGTCGTAGAATCCCTAGAGTACGGAAAGAGGCCACTCATCCCATCAAGTCTGCACCTACCCTCCAAAAAGCATCCCATCCAGACCCAGTCCACCCACGCTATCCCCAATAATCCCACATTTACTTTGGCCAATCCACCCTGACCTGCACATCATTGACCTGTGGGAAGAAACCCACACAGACGCGGGGGGAACGTGCAAACTCCACATAGACAGTCACCCGAGGCTGGAATCAAGCCCGGGTGCCCGGTACTGGCAGTATTAACCACCGAGCCACCATACCGTTTACCACCACCTTTCCATATGCCGTCCAGCCTCCATCGAACCTGACCCGATGTTCTTCGCTGGCTTTCGGTCACAACCCCATCACGTTTCTTCCTCGGTTGCCTTTTAAGGATTAATCTTCGAAGGTCAACGATGCTGACTTACAGTCAGAAAATAAACCCTGCATTGGCATCCTCTCTGAGCAAAGGGGCGTCTGGGAGGTTGATCTTTGACCCTACAAAGACTGGCATCCCATTGAGGTCTTGGGTGTCTTTAGTTTCAGGGGCAGTAAAACCCAAAAATAACCCACTAAAGGGGAAAAAGTAAGGGTTTTACATTTAATGTCGTGTGCCTGTTTGGTATTTTATTACGATTCTAAACTGCTCTATTCAGCAGACTGTCCACTCACTCAACGCCCTAAACAGCTTCTCCGCAGCCTTTCGCTCCGTCCCGCCTTATATAGCCCCGGGAGGCAGCCCCTGGGAAGGGGCGGGGCTTACCAGTCACGTCCCGCCCTGCCGCCGCGTCGGTCATGTGACGGGGTGGCGCTCCAATCAGGTGGCCCCCAGCTCCCGCGCGGACCGGCGCGAGGCGCGGGCTCGAGCGCCACCCACCCCACCACCAGGCAACGGCCCAACTTCAAAACAGCGCCGCGTGACCCCGACGGTTATTCGACCCCTCCCGCCATGACTAGCCTTCAAGAGGCTAATAGAGAAAGGACATATAATCACAAAGGGCATTAAGGCGCCCGAAAAAGAATACATATCTTCTCAATGAGTCATTAAGGTGACTGAAAAGGGACATAGCTTCTCAAAAAAAAGAGGAATTGGAAAGATAACATGTTTCCCAAAGGTCAATGATGGCAGGAAAATGGGCATAAAGAATGCTGGAAGAGAGAACATCTTCTCAAATGGCACTAAGATGGCTGAAGAGAGTATAGGTTTTTAGAAGACACTGAGATGCCTGAAAAAGAGAATATATAATTTTTCAAAAAAGTCATTAAGGAGCCTGCAAGAGATGGCACAGTTTGTCAGAGGGCAACAAGATGGCAGAAAACAAGGAGACGCGTCTTCCCAAAAGGCATTAAATGCCGGAAAGTGAAAGCAATCTTCTCAACAAGGTGTTAAGATAATAGGATTGACAAAAAAGGGCATATTTTCACCAAACACAATAGGATGACTGGAAAAGTGAATGCATAAGAGTCATATAGATCGGAAACAGACCTTTCAGTTGACTGATCCGCACCGACCAGGCATCCCAATCTGACCAATTCCCATTTGCCAGCATTTGGCCCATATCCCTCTAAACCTTTCCTATTCATATACACATCCAGATGCCTTTTAAATGTTATAATTGTACCAGCCTCCACCACTTTCTCTGGCAACTCGTTCCATACACACACCATCCTTGGTGTAAAAAAGTTATCTCTCAGGTTCCTTTTAAATCTTTCCCCTCTCATCTTAAACCTATGACGTCTAGTTTCGGACTCCCTCACCTTAGGATAAAGACCTTCGCTATTCACCATATCCATGCCCCTCGTGATTTTATAAACCCCAAATAAGGTCACCTCTCAGTCTTTGACACTCCAGAGAAAATAGCCCCAGCCTATTCAGCCTCTCCTTACAGCTCAAACCCTCCAACCCCGGCAACATCCTTGTACATCTTTTCTGCATGCTGTCAAGTTTAACAACATCTTTCCCAGAGAAGGGTGACCAGAATTGTACACAGTATTCTAAAAGTGGCCTCACCAATGTCCTGAACAGCCACAACATCACCTCCCAACTCTTGTACTCAATGTTTGGATCGATGAAGGCAAGCATGCCAAAAGCCTTCTTCACTACCCTGTCTACTTGACACTTCAATTTCAAGGAACTATGCACCTGTACCCCTGGTCTCTTTGTTCGGTAACAGTCTCCAGGACCCTACCGTCAAGTGTTTAAGTCCTGTTCTGGTTCATCTAACCAAAATGCAACACCTCACATTTATCTAAATTAAACACCATCTGCCATTTCTTGGCCCAGCCGCCCATCTGGTCTGCTCTCTGTGTAAAAGAAATTGTCCCTCATCCTTTTTAAACCTTTCATCTCGCTTTAAAAATATGCCCCATAATCTTGAAGTTCCCCCATCCTTGGGAAAAGACACCTACCATTATCCCTATTTATACCACTCATGATTTTATAAACCTGTAAGGTCACCTCTCAACCTCCTTCACTCGAGTGAAAAATGTCCCAGCCTATCCAGCCTTTCTTTGTAACTCAAATGTTCCATTCCTGGCAACATCCTGGTAAATCTTTTGTGAACCCTCTCCAGCTTCATAATATAACAGGGAGACCAGAACTGGACAGTAGTCCAGAAGAGGCCTCACCAATGTCCTGCACAACCTCAACATAATGTCCCGAACTCCGATACTCAAAGGTCTGAGCAATGAAGGCAAACATGCTAAATGCCTTCTTAACCATCCTATCTATAGTGATCCAAATTTCAAACAGTTATGTACCTGAACTCCTAGGTCTCTCTGTTCTACAGCACTGCCCAAGGCCCTACTTTTAATTGTCTTTGTTTGCTTTACAAAAATGTGATACCTCGCATTTATCCAAATTAAACTCCATTTGCCATGCTTCAGCCCAGTGACCCAATTGATCAAGAACTCTCTGTAATCTTAGATAACTTCTTCACTGTCCATTATGCCACCAATCTTGGTGTCATCCGCAAACTTACTAACTGTACTTTCTACATTTTCATCTAAGTCATTTATATAAATGACAAATAAAAGTGGACCCAGCACCAATCCCTATGGATAGACCTCCAGTCTGAAAAACAACCCTCCACCACCACTTTCCATCTCCTGACTTTAAGCCAATGTTGCATCCAATTAGCAAGCCCACTCTAAATCCCATGTGATCTAACTTTACTAATTAGTAAAACGTGCAGAACCTTGTCAAAGACTTCGCTAAAGTCCAAGTATACTATGTCTCTGCTCTGCCCTCATCAATCTTCTTGGTTACTTCCTCAAAAAACTCAATCAAGTTTGTGAGACACGATTTCCCTCATCTTCTTAAAATGCATCAATTTGACTGAAACGGGGACATAATCTCATGTAGTTGGAAATATTAGAAGCATATGAAGCAATGGTTAGCACAAGGTCGATGAGGCCAAACAATGGCCTCTGTGACAAAGGAAGACTTCGCAACATAGACCAAGCCTTGTGTCAAGGCATCAAACTTTCTAAAGGTGCAACCATCTTGTCAAAACGTAAATATGGCCCAAAACTAGCAACCGACCACAATGATTCGAGCTTCAGATCTTTTTTCCTACTGTCGTTTGAGCATTGCAGGAGCAAGTTGAGTTGGTCTCCTCAGCATTGCCAACAGCCAGCTGTCCCCAACAGAACAATCATGGAAAGTTTCAACATTGTGCGAGAAGGACAGACGTGAGCTGGAATGTAGTAGACTACTCTAGGAAACCCTTTGATTTGTTAAGATCCTTCTGGGTAATCCTTCAGATCATGAATCGTTGATTGAAAATCAAAAGGAAGAAAACTACATGTTCTCAGACAGCAACAGAGAAACAGAACATTCTTTCATGGAAGGTGTGCATTAATATAGCCCAGTTCATGGTCTCAGGGTGTCCCAAAGTGCTTCACGGACTCTACTTTGAAGTGCAAGTTGCTCTAGCAAATCACATCAGTTATGTACAGCAAACTCCAACAATGACTAGTGAGCTAACTAGCAGTTTCATCTTTCTGTCAATAGTGTTGGTTGAGAGATAAATTTTGGCTCCAGGATGGTTGGAAAAACTCAGGAGTGAAAGGAGCAAAACCAAAACAACTCACCGATGTCTCTGTTCCAGACTTGTGCTAGAACTGGGCTTTTCTGAATTTTTGTTTCCTTGTCTCTTTGTGTGTTTGTTTGTATGTGAATGGGAATTTTAAGAAAGGGGTAAGAGTTTAAGTGGGAGAATTCTTTTTTTATTCATTTATTGAATGTGGGTGCTGCTGGTTGGCTAGCATTTATTGCCCATTCCATGTTGCCCTTGAGAAGGTAGCAAGCTGCCTTCTTGAACTGCTGCAGTCCACCTGCTGTGGGTTGACCCACAATGCCATTAGGGAGGAAATTCCAGAATTTTAACCCAGCAACTGAAGGAATGACGACATATTTCCAAGTCATGATGGTGAGTGGTTTGGAAGGGAACTTGAAGGTGGTGGTGTTTCCATACATCTTGTCCTTCTAGATGGAAGTGGTTTTGGATTTGGAATATGCTTTCTGAGGAACTTTGTTGAACTTCTGCGGTGCATCTTGTAGATAGTACATACTGTTGCTACTGAGCTTTGGCAGTAGAGGGAGTGGATGCTTGTGGATGTGATGGCAATCAAGTGGTCTGCTTTGTCCTGGATGGTGTCAAGCATCTTGAGTGTTGTTGGGGCTGCACTCATCCAGGCAAGTAGGGAGTATTCCATCACACTCCTGGCTTGCGCCTTGTAGACGGTGAACAGGCTTTGTGGAGTCAGGAGGTGAGTTAGATGCCACGGTATTCCTAGCCTCTGATCTGCTCTTGTAGCCACTTTGTTAATGTGGTGAGTCCAGTTAAGTTTCTTGATAGCCCCCAGGAAGTTGATAGTGGGGGATTTAGTGATGGTAACACCTTTGAATGTCAAGGAGCAATGGTGAAATTGTCTGTTACTGGTGAAGTATGGCTGGCATTTGTGTGGTGTGAATTTTACTTGCCACTTGTCAACCCAAACTTGGGTGTTGTCCAGATTTTTGTTTCATTTGAACACAGACTGCTTCACTATCTGATGAATCACGAATGGAACTGAACATTGTGCAAATATTGGCGAGCATCCCGACTGCTGGCCTTATGATTCAGGGAAGGTCATTGATGAAGCAGCTGAAGATGGTTGGGCCTAAGATACTAGCCTGAGGAACTCCTGTTATAAGTTAACAATTCTTGCTTCCTTTTTGCCATTGGTTCCAAACAATTTCCCTGAAAGTCTGTTAACCGAGTTTCTTTACTTGCGATTTCTTGAACTCTTACACTATTAGTAACTTGTACCTGAACACCGACTTTAAAAGCACTCTCCAACTTAACATCTACAATAAAGATAACATGTTGCTTCACCTACTGGACATTCTTCTTCATGATGCATTTTTCTTTGCGTCACAACATAAACATGTACTCTGTGTAAGTGGTGTATTTATATTTCCTGCTCTTTCAGCAGTTTTAGCATGCTTTCCTTGCAGCCTTTCTGAAGGAAGGGCCCAATCACATTTGAGTCTACTTTAGAGATGATCCTGACCGAAACCTTGGTGTTTCTCCAATGTATACCCTGGTTTTGCTTTCTCTATTCAACCTGCTTCATGTAATTCATGACCTGCTCCATGATAGATCTTTCTTTGTCTGTAAGAGGTC